CACCTCCCCCCAAAACCACGATTTGGGGCCACCCTTGGGTGCCAACTTAACCCAAACCCAAGATTTGGTGACACCCTTTGATGTCCCCTCCACCCAAAAATTTTTTTCGGTGACATTTTTGGTGTCCCCTCCGCCCAAAAATGAATTTTTGGGGCCGCCTTTGACGTCCCCTCCCACCCAAGGCCGGGTTTTTTAGGCGTCACCGGCGACGCACCGAGACGCCCTCGAAGGCCGAGGAGTTGAGCGCGCGGTAAATCTCGTCGGTGATGTTCTTGTTGTTGTAGTTGAAGTCTTCCAACCTCAGGCCCTTCTTGACCAACTCTTGGGACGTCTTGTTGAGCGCCAAGGCCAAGGCCCAGATGGCGTCGTAGGCCAACGGCGCCTCCTGGAAGCCGCCGGTCTCCTCCGGGTTCTTGCCCAACCTCTTCTGGAGCTTCTCGATGAACTCTTGGGACGTCTGGTGGATGACAGGCAATGGTTGGGTTGGTCAACGGCCAATGGTTGACCCAATGGTTGGGTTGGTCAACGGCCAATGGTTGGGTTGGTCAACACTCAACACTCAATGGTTGGGTTGGTCAACAGCCAATGGTTGGGTTGGAGATCACCCAGTGTTGACCAATGGTTGGGTTGGAGACCACTCAAGGTTGACCCAATGGTTGGGTTGGTCAACACGCAGTGGTTGGGTTGGAGACCACCCAAGGTTGACCCAACGTTGACCCAATGGTTGGGTTGGAGATCAGCCAATGGTTGGGTTGGTCAACAGCCAATGGTTGGGTTGGAGATCACCCAGTGTTGACCAATGGTTGGGTTGGAGACCGTTCAAGGTTGACCCAATGGTTGGGTTGGAGATCAGCCAATGGTTGGGTTGGTCAACACTCAATGGTTGGGTTGGTCAACAGCCAGTGGTTGGGTTGGAGACCACCCAAGGTTGACCACAACGTTGACCCAATGGTTGAGTTGGTCAACAGCCAATGGTTGGGTTGGTCAACACTCAAACTTGACCCAGTGGTTGGGTTGGGAGACCACCCAAGGTTGACCAATGGTTGGGTTGGAGACCGTTCAAGGTTGACCCAATGGTTGGGTTGGAGATCAGCCAATGGTTGGGTTGGTCAACAGCCAATGGTTGGGTTGGTCAACACTCAAACTTGACCCAGTGGTTGGGTTGGAGANTCATCCACCATCATTGATCCATCATCATCATTATTGATCCATCATTATCGATCCATCATCATCATTAATCCATCATTGATCCATCATCATCATCATCATCATCATCATCATCCATCCATCATCATCATCATCATTGATCCATCATCCATCATCATCGATTCATCAATTATTGATCAATTATTGATCCATTATTGATCCATTATCGATCCATCATTGACCCACCACCCCTCATCATCCACCCGTCCATCATTGATCAATTATTGATCCATTATTGATCCATCATTGACCCACCATCCATCATTGATCCATCATTGATCCATTACTGATCCACCATTAACCCACCACCCCTCATCATCGATCCATCCATCATTGATCAATTATTGATCCATTATCGATCCATTACTGATCCATTAACCCACCACCCCTCACCATCCACCCGTCCATCATTGATCAATTACTGATCCATTATCGATCCATCATTGACCCACCACCCATCATCATCGATTCATCAATTATTGATCCATTATTGATCCATCCATTATTGATCCATTATTGATCCATCATTGACCCACCATTAACCCACCACCCCTCATCATCCACCCGTCCATCATTGATCAATTATTGATCCATTATTGATCCATCATTGACCCACCACCCATCATCATCGATTCGTCAATTATTGATCCATTATTGATCCATCATTGACCCACCATTAACCCACCACCCCTCATCATCCACCCGTCCATCATTGATCCATTATCGATCCATTATTGATCCATCATTGATCCACCACTAACCCACCACCCCTCATCATCCACCCGTCCATCATTGATCAATTATTGATCCATTATCGATCCATCATTGATCCATGATTAACCCACCACCCCTCATCATCCACCCATCCATTATTGATCGATTATTGATCCATTATCGATCCATCCATTATTGATCGATTATTGATCCATCATTAACCCACCACCCCTCATCATCCACCCATCCATTATTGATCGATTATTGATCCATTATCGACCCGTCCATTATTGATCGATTATTGATCCATTATCATCCACCCATCCATTATTGATCGATTATTGATCCATCATCCACCCATCCATCATTGATCGATTATTGATCCATTATCGATCCCCTCTCCCACCTCACAGAAAACTTTCCGCGCCTCCGTCTCGTAGAAGAGCCCCACGATGATCCGGGCGTCCTGGCGCTGCGGGATTGGACGGATCGGGGTCAAACCCCGCCCACCTCATTTGCATAACCCCACCCCCGGGGGGATNGGCCTCGGCCATCTCGGCCTCGGTGCAGTTGATGGCCGGGTCCTTGATGCGGAACCAGTTGTCGGCGTACCAGCCAATCAGGAACCAGACGTATTTCTTGCCGTAGAGTTTCTCCTTGTAGACCTGGGAGGGGGGGAGGGGGAGGTGGGGAGCGTTGCATGATGGGTAATGGGATTTGTTCATCGTCTTCATCTTCATCATCGTCATCGTCGTCATCGTCATCATCCAGCCGTCAGTATTGATCCATCATCATCATCCATCATTGATCCATCATCATCATCATCCATCATTGATCCATCAGTATTGATCCATCGTCATCATCATCCATCATCATTGTCATCGTCATCATCCACCATCCAACATCATTGATCCCTCATCATCATCATCTTCATCTTCATTTTCATCTTCATCATCCATCCATCATCATCATCATCATCATCCACCATCATTGATCCATCATCATTATTGATCCATTTTTGATCCATCATCATCATCATCATCATCATCATCATTGACTCATCCATCATCCATCATCATCATCATCATCATCGTCATTGTCATTGTTATCATGATCATCCATCCATCATCATCATCGTCCATCATTGATCCATCATCATCATCCAGCATCATCATTGACCCATCAGTATTGATCCATCATCATCATCATCATCATCATCCATCCATCATCATCATCATTGATCCATCATCATCATCATCGCCACCATCATCCATCCATCCATCATCATCATCATCATCCATCATCATTGATCCATTATCATCATTATTGATCCATTTTTGATCCATCATCATCATCATCATCATCATCATCATCATCATCATTGACTCATCCATCATCCATCATCATCATCATCGTCATTGTCATTGTTATCATCATCCATCCATCCGTCATCATCATCATCATCCATCATTGATCCATCAGTATTGATCCATCATCATCATCATCATCATCATCATCCATCCATCCGTCATCATCATCATCATCCAGCATCATCACTGATCCATCAGTATTGATCCATCAGTATTGATCCATCATCATCATCATCATCATCATCATCATCCACCATCCAACATCATTGATCCCTCATCATCATCATTTTCATCTTCATCATCATCATCCATCATCATCATTGATCCATCAGTATTGATCCACCATCATCATCATCATCGTCATCATCATCATCCATCCATCCATCCATCCACCATTCGTCATCATCATCATCATCGATCCATCATCCATCATTATCGATCCATCATCATCATCATCATCATCATTGATCCGTTATTGATCCATCATTGACCCACCATCCATCATTGATCCATCATTGATCCATTATTGATCCATCATTGATCCATTATTGATCCATTAACCCACCACCCCTCATCATCGATCCATCCATCATTGATCAATTATTGATCCATCATTGATCCACCACTAACCCACCACCCCTCATCATTGACCCGTCCATTATTGATCGATTAGTGATCCATTATCGATCCATCACTGACCCACCACCCATCATTATTGATCCATTATCAATCCATCATTATTGATCAATTATTGATCCATTATCGATCCATCATTGATCCATTAAACCACCACCCCTCATCATCCACCCATCCATCATTGATCAATTATTGATCCATTATTGATCCATCATTGACCCACCACCCATCATCATCGATTCATCAATTATTGATCCATTATTGATCCATCATCCACCCGTCCATCATTGATCGATTATTGATCCATCATCGACCCATCCATTACTGATCGATTATTGATCCATTATCGATCCCCTCTCCCACCTCACAGAAAACTTTCCGCGCCTCCGTCTCGTAGAAGAGCCCCACGATGATCCGGGCGTCCTGGCGCTGCGGGATTGGACGGATCGGGGTCAAACCCCGCCCACCTCATTTGCATAACCCCACCCCCGGGGGT